GATAATAAAAAGCAGATTTATCTCCAATAACATCCCTACCTTCCCCCACAAAAAAACACCATCTTTATTTTCAATAAAATTTAATTTTCTTTTTTTTTACAAATAATTAAAAAAAATGAATAAATAAAGATAATTTTACAAATTCTGATTCGATTTTGATTTGTAATCTTTTGATTTGCATATTGTGCCATTGTTTTGGGTGGTTGTGAGTTTAGTTTTTGATGAATTTTTTTCCAAAATGAAACCAGAAATGAAAACAAAACAAACATTTCAAAAATGTGTAATGACATCATCATTTTAAATTAAAATCTTTCAATCCGATAATTTTTGATATATAAATAGCAACCAACAATTAATAACTAAATCAAAATTATTTTATTTGTTTTGTTTGTTGTTTTTTTAAATTTGTATTTTTAATTTACAAACAAAACAAAAAAATCAATCAATCAATTATGGATAATATAATTGGTTATTTGTTTTTTTTTGTTATACTATTTATTATAATCATTATATTTATTATAATATATTGTATTTGTTTATGTTGTTCTATGTGTTGTTATATGTTTTGTTGTTATAATTGTAAATCTAATAGTAAAAATTAATTTTTATCATTTATAACCATTTTTTTACAAATATAAAAAAATGAATAAATAAATATAAAATTTTACAAATTCTGTTTCGATTTTGGGTGGTGGGGGAGTTTAGCTTTTGATGAATTTTTTTCCAAATGCAACCAGAAATGAAAACAAAAACATTTCAAAAATGACATCATTTCATTTCATTGATTGATTGAATTTCAAATGGGAAAAAAGCAATTAATCATTGTAATTGTCATTTGGGATGATTCAAATTTTTTTTTAATTTGAAATTTCAATTCATTCTTTGAATTCTTTCTCTATTTCAATTCGATAATTTTGATATATAAATATCCAAAACAATCAACAATCAATAACTAAAAATCTAAAATCATATTTTTGTTTTGTTTTGTTTTTCATATTGTCGAAACGAAAAACAAAAACAAATGGAAGATTATAGATTGACGAGTGGAAATACTGTACAGTGTCTGGTTTTACTCGCCATTATATTGTTTGCAATTTGTTATCCATTTATTTGGTGTTTCAGGGGTTGTCGTGAAGATGAGTGCCAACAACCAGATAATTGTTAAACCAATCAATACAACAAATAAAGCTAAACTGATGTTCAAAAAAAAAAAATAAATAAATAAATAAATAATTTCTCCTATCCAAAGTGGACAATTTAATTGCATACAAGTCATTTCCCGCCACTTCGGATCCCCTTCATATTTTGAAATATGTTTATTTTTATGATTATTCTACTAATTCTAATTTGGATTATTTTTGTCTTTTGACAATTTGTTTTTTTTCATTCACTTTTAAAAAATGAAACTAAAAATCATTTCTAACCTTTTTTCATTCAATAAAATCTAATTTTCTTTTGTTTTTTTTACAAATATAAAAAATGAATAAAATTTTACAAATTCTGATTTGATTTTGTTATTTTGTTTTTTTTTTCCAAATGATTATCTTCAAATGAAACCAGGAAATGTAAACAAAACAAACATTCCAAAAATGTGTTTTAAACATCCATTGATCAATTGATTGATTGATTGATTGATTGAATTTCAAGTTGGAAAAAAAGCAATTAATCATGGTAATTGTCATTTGGGATGATTTCAAATTTTTTTTTTAATTTGAAATTTCAATTCATTCTTTGAATTCTTTCTTTCTCTCTCTCTCTTTTTCTCTATTTCAATCCGATAATTTTGATTAATATAAATAGCCTACACACAAATCATTACATCATTACAATCAACAATCAATAACTAAATTTGATCTAAAATCATATTGTTTTGTTTTTTATTTATATTTTCAATTGTCAAACGAAAAAAATTAATCTATCATAAAAATGCATTCGTATGATCTATATGATCTTTGTCTTATTATTTCTTTTATTGCAGTGTTGTTAATGCTTGTAGTTTTTATCATAACTGGTATTTGCTATGGTTGTTATTATTTTTGGAAAGATATTCATGAAGATTATCCACAAGGTGATCGTTGTAAAAATGTTTTTTGTTGTTGTTGTTGTTGAAAACTTTTGTCATATTGATATTTGTCTTTTGACATCATTATTAATTATCAATAATTAATTAATACTTTTTTTAATACATTTAATTTAACCAGAGAATAACAATCAGACAAACAAATTTTTATAAAATTTCCAATAACGTTTAATATCCGTTTGTCCACAAAACCAAAAAAAAAAACAAAAAATCATTATCAACTTTATAACTACACACAACAACAAAAATTAAAAAAAAACAAAAACAAAAATTTAAAAAAAACCACAATGAATGAATAAATAAAATTGATCAATTGATTGATTGAATTTCAAGTGAGAAAATAAAGCAATCAAATCATGGTAATTGTCATTTGGGATGATTCAAATTTTTTAAAATTTAAAATTTCAATTCATTCTTTGAATTCTTTCTTTCTCTCTCTTTCTCTATTTCAATCCGATAATAATTTTGATATATAAATAGCCCAAACAATCAACAATCAATAACTAAATCTAAAATCATATTTTTGTTTTGTTTTTTAATTGTCGAAACGAAAAACAAAAAAAAACCAAAACAAAAAACAAACAAAAAATCAATCAATCATGAGTAAAATTGATAATGAAATTTGGATTGTTATATTCAGTATATCCATTATATTATGTTTAATTTGTTCAATTTGTTATATATTGATTTGCTGTCTAAAGGTTTGTTGTCAAAAAACTTATCGCCCAGAAGAAGCACCTTATATTAATGATTATTAAACCAATCGATATTACAACAAAAAAAAGCTAAACTGTTCCATTGCGGTTCCAAAAAAAATTTGTCCCATCCAAAGTGGACAATTCAATTGCCTACAATGCCATGTTAAGTCATTTTTCCCGCCACTTTGGATCCCCTTTCATATTTTGAAATATGTTTATTTTTATGATTATTCTACTAATTCTGATATGGATTATTTTTGTCTTTTGACAATTTGTTTTTTAGTTTCAATCTTTAAAAAATGAAACTAAAAAGCAATTCTAACCTTTTTTGTTCAATAAAATCTAATTTTCTGTTTTGTTACAAATATAAAAATATGATTAAATAAATTTGAATTTTATAAATTCTGATTTGATTTTGTTATTTTTTTCCAAATGATTATCTTCAAATGAAACCAGAAATGTAAACAAAACAAACAAAACAAACATTTCAAAAATGCGTCATGACATCATTTCATTGATTGATTGATTGAATTTCAAATGGGAAAATAAAGCAATCAAATCATGGTAATTGTCATTCTGGATGATTCAAATGTTTCTTCTTTGAAAAAAATTTGAATTCTTTGAATTTTTTAAACACGTTTCTCTCTCTCTCTTTCATATAAATAAAGCCTACATAATCAATAATTTAAAATCATTGAAGTTGTTTTTTATTTGTTGTATTTTTTTTTTGAATTGTCAAACGAAAAATCCAAAAAAACAAACCAAACGAAAAAAAATCAATCAATCAATCAATCAATCAACCAATCATGCATTTTCAAGATCAGCTTAATGTTATTCTTATTGTATTGTTGGTAATCTTTATTCTTGCTATAATACGTTATCTAGGTTATCTTTGTTTAAAGCTTATTTGTACTAAGGATATTGATTGTCCTAATTGCGATTGTGATGAATTAAAATGTGAAGTTTGTTGTTGTTGTTGATCATGATGATTTGAGACATTTGTCTTTTGGCATCTTTTGATTTTGGCAATCATCATCGTTAATTATCGTTAATTAATACCGTTATTTACACATTTAATAATTCTAATCAAAATGATAACCAAGATAATAATAAAACAAACAAACAACCGATATACATCCAAACAAAACAAAACAAAACAAAACAAACAGATTTTTTTAAATATTCCCAATAACGTTTAATATCCCTCCCCAAAAAAATCATTATCAACTTTATTACCACCACAAAAATAAAACCATAACAACAATGATAATCGAAAATAACACATGAAAAAAATCAATGTTACCATCGTTTATGTCAAGTCATCATCATCATCATCATCTTCGTTTATAATAATGGTCTATGATATCTTTGGTTTATTTTTAACATGGCGAAAAAACAGAAAAACAGAAAAGGAAAAAGAGATAACCACCTACACAAACACACACACACACACATCACTTATTACTTGTATGATTTCATCATTGATGAAAACAAGAAACAAATTGCATTGCAAAAATGATAAAATGAAATAAAAATAATAATAAAAATCTTTATTTGACATTGAGAATTCACATTATCTTTTTTCTTTTTTGGTTATCTTTATGAAAAAATTCTTATCATTTTTTCTAATCTAAATCTGGTTTTTTTGGTTTTTGGTTTTTGGTTTTTGGTTTTTGATCCTTTTTGGCTTTTCTGACTTTTGATCCTTTTCGAAATTATTATTATTTTGTTATTATTATTTTTATCTGCTGGGTACCATATCTATGATTTTGATTTTCATTTTATCTCGATTTCGATTTTGATTTCGTTATCGATCGATCGATCGATCGATTGATGAATCCTCAGCCAACCAATCAATCTCATATCCCATCATCATCATCATCATCATCATGTGTTGCTTAGGCAAAAAAAAAATGAACCAACTTGAGTGAAATCAGCCACACACACACACAATAAATATATTTTCTTTCTCTCCTAAATTACCGAGTTTACTTTTACTTATTTCCTAATTTGTTTTTTTTATATTTTGTTTTCCTTTTCTTTTCTCTCTCTCTCTCTCTCCTTATTTCTTACACGTTTACAAAATACAATCAATCAATGAAAAAATAACTCAATTTTCATTGTTCTTCCTCAAATCAAATCAAATCAATCAATCAACCTAATTAATCAAATTAATCGAATTTCCCCCCTTTCCAGCCAAAAAAACAATGATGATTTTTGATTTCTGATTTTTGATCTGTTTTTTTCTCTTGTTTTTTTTGTTGAATTTTTTTTTTGTTAAATTTTGTTTTTCGTGTGTGTCAAAATGCTGCTCAGAAAGATAATGAATCGTAATCGTCAAGAAACAAATGTTTCTGCTGGTGATTTACCACCCCCGCCACCACCACCACCATCAATAACAAATCCAATCATACAACAACAATTACAAACACAACCATTACGTATAAAAACAACATCAATATATTCTGATTATATAATGACCGATAATGTTTTGGGTTTGGGTATTAATGGTAAAGTTATTGAATGTCGATCGAAAATGACTGGACAAAAATATGCAATCAAGGTGATTATATTATTTGATTGATTGATTTTTGATTCTGGATTAACTCCCCCCCCTTTATTTTCATTAAGGTACTTCGTGATAATACCAAATCAAGACGTGAAGTTGAATTACATTGGCGTGCTAGCCGTTGTAAACATATTGTACCTGTTATTGATGTTTATGAAAATGTAATTAAATCGGATAAATGTTTATTTGTTATTATGGAATGGTAATTAGATTTGAATTTTTTTGTTTGTTTCCTAATTGATTTGATTTGATTTCTTGATAAATTCTTTCTTGAATATTCAGTATGGAAGGTGGTGAACTATTTCAACGTATACAGGATCGTGCTGAAAATGCATTCACCGAACGTGAAGCAGCCGAAATAATGAGAGAAATTTGTAAAGCAATTCAATTTTTACATTCATTAAATATTGCTCATCGTGATGTTAAACCAGAAAATCTTTTATATACACGTAAAGATCATACAGGGAAATTGAAATTAACTGATTTTGGTTTTGCAAAAGAAACAAATAGTGCATTACAAACACCTTGTTATACACCTTATTATGTTGCACCTGAAGTACTTGGTCCAGAAAAATATGATAAAAGCTGGTTAGTTTTGGATTTTTTAAAAAATGAATGAATTATAAACCTTTTTTAATTAATTTTTTTTCTTCAAAATTACAGTGATCTATGGTCATTAGGTGTTATAATGTATATTTTATTATGTGGTTATCCACCATTTTATAGTAATCATGGTTTAGCAATATCACCCGGCATGAAAAAACGTATACGTGCTGGTCAATATGATTTTCATGATAATGAATGGCGTCATGTTTCAAAAGATGGTAAATATTGATTACAAAATCAATCACTTTTTTTTGTAATTTTAATTTGTAATTTGAAAAAATAGCCAAAGATCTAATTAAAGCATTATTAACAACTGATCCAGAAAAACGTTTAACAATTGAACAGGTTATGAAACATAATTGGATTGCTGTAAGTTTTGTTTTTCGATTTTTGATTTAAAAATTTGATTTTTTCAATCAATTTTTTTTCAATTTTTCACAGAGATATACCGAAGTACCACAAACACCATTACGTTCCATACAAATATTACGTGAAGATCAAGATCAATGGCCAGAAATACAAGATGAAATGACACAAGCATTACGTACAATGCGTGTTGATATTGATCCAAGTGTACGACTTAAAACATTGGATACAATTAGTAATCAATTATTGGAAAAACGTAAAAATCGTACAACACCAACACCAAAATCTACACATCCGATTGCATAAATTGAAATACACATTTTTTTCTCTATCATATTAGCATATCTATTATGTATGTTTTCATTCAAAATTCAATTGATAATCGATTTTGTTTGTTTGTAGCAAAAAAACAAAACAAAATGTCAAACCATGTTCAACAACAATAAATGAAATGAATGAATGAATGTAAACACAGTCAAAATGTTCATCATCCATTTTTTTGTTTAAAAAATAAAAAAAAAATGTTTTAAAAAAAATTTAAAATTTTTCGAAAATTTTGATTACAAAACAATAGATGGCGACATAGGTTCCAGTAATGAGAATAATAATCACTTGTAGAGCCTTTTTTTTATATAACACACATAATTGGGTGTGTGTTTGTTTTGCGTAAATATTTGTTCCAAGAAAAATCGAAAATTGAAATTATGTGATGCACGTGGCATCACTCTCTCCAAGTATACTGCAGTGCACACTAAACACGCACATACTTTTTCAGCACGTGTCACATTCTTGAATCCAGTAAGAAGTTTTTTCGGTAAATTTTGTTTTGCAAAACTTCATTGATTGAATCATTGTCATCGATCGATCGAGGTAGGCCATGTTTACAAATAGAAAATGATGATAATAATGGTGGTGTTTGGCTTCAAAAACCACCACCACCACCATCATCACACTTGTATACCACCAATCTTTTTTTTTTGTTTTGAATGATCTTCAAGATCGTTGTCGTTGTGGTTGTTTAGCTGTATACCGTGGCTAACAACAACAACAACGTCGACGACGTCGTCGTCGACAACGATACTTTTTTTTTTGATCGTCAAGTGAGAGAGAAAGAGAACGAAAATTATGAAATGTTACCATTCAATTTTTCCAAATGAAAATCAACAAGAGAAAACATACATAGATCCACACTGAAGACACCTTTCGCTCTCTCTCTTCGTTTATTCCTCAAAATACAACAATTTTTACTCGCCAACAAAAATATATGGCTGCTTCTGCTTGCTTCTTCTGCTGTTTGGATAGATTGGTTGGATATAGTTTGTATGTTTGTGTGTTTGTGAAAGTTGTTTCTTCGTTGAACTTCGAAAGAAGAAAAAAAAATTCTTAAAGGAAAACAAGTGAAATGTAAAATGAGCCACATAATTTTTTCTCAATTTCTTCATTCGTAAATATATTGAATAATCTTTTTTTTTCGTAAATCTTTTCCACAACGAACTGTGTCCATCGATCGATGTTTGTTTGTTGATGATAATTGTGATAGTAGTGGTGGTGGTAGTTTGTTGTTGATTGAATTGAATTTGAAATTTGTTGAATGAATGTTGACGTCGTCATCGATATCGATATTCCGAAAGTTTTTGATTTTTGATATTTTTTTTCCTGATTAAAAATCAATCAATCGATTGGAATTCAGCTTCAATTCAATATCGATTCAATAAAAAGTTTTTAAAAGTTTTGTTTCGTTTCTTATCTCTGTATCCACCATCATCATCTTATCTTAGTATTGAAGGAAACAAAAGTAAGTACCTTTACGGTGTTTTTTCTTTGCTTATCTTTGTAAAAAATTATCCATCATCGACAGCAACAGCAAGCATTTATTTACCTTAAACAATATTACTGATTATTGTTTACCTTAGTTACATTTACTTCAGTTAGTTACATTTACCTGACTTACTTACCTTACTTACTCGATGATTTTATTGTAAAATCTTTTTTGTTTTGTTTACGTTTTTTTTCCCTGTTTGTGTTTGATTTCAATCAATCAATCAATCATAAGAAATCGATTGATTATCATCAAAGTGATTTTTGCTGGTTAATTCAATCCGTATGTCTTGTATTCACCGAGAAACAAAAAGATTTTTTTTCCAAATAAAGAAAAAAAAAGATCAAAAAATCGATTCTATTTTTGAATAATAAATTTTTTCAGTTTTTCTTCACTTGACTTTTGAATTTTATTCTAATTTTTTTGGCAAAAGTTATCATCGTGTATGGTAGGTGTGTGTAGTGGTGGTGGTTGAGGATTAAGACAAACTCATTGAGGATGCCAAAAAAACAAGAAAACTTTGTTGTTGTTGTTGATTCAATCACATAATAATGATGTTTTTCTTGATCTTTTTCTCATGTTTCTTCTTTTTAGATTTCTTTTTCAAAATGTCTATTTTTTCCGTTCAATTTTGATTAAATAACTAATAATAATTTTGATGGAAATGTCTGCAACATCATCTGGATCATCATCTGAATCTGGTTCTGGATCTGGATCATCGGTAGATTCATCTGGATCAAGATCATCATCAAATAGTTCGATTGAAAATTTAATGTCACAACAACAACAACAACAGAAACAGAAGCAGAATGATGATGTAAATAATCAACAAGTTGATCAACAAAATCCAAATGAAATTGATCAAAATAATGATGATAATGTTGAGGAAACAATTGCAAATGTAAATTCATCATCATCATCATCATCGACAACAATGATGGAGAATAATTCAATTGAATCAAACAATAATGTTGATGATGTGGATCCAGATGAATCTACTGATAAATCTACTGATAAACCATCAATGATGGCGACTATTCCAACAACAACAACAACTACAACATCGATGAATATTATTGATTATCAATTATATCAACAACCACCGCAACAACAATCGATAAATCATTCCAAAAATTTAATTTTATCATCATCATCGCCATCGCCATCAACAACAATTTCATCACAAGATAAACCAAATTCAATGTCAATGTCTTCATCATCATCAACAACAAATCATCCACCGCCTTCAATCATAACATCATCATCATTATTTAATCAACATTTAAATCATAATATTGATAATCAGAATCAGAATCATCAGAATTTTTATCTCGATAATAATTTTGATTATAATAATGGTGTTATAAATCATCAACCACCAGAATCAAATTCATATCATCAACAAAATCGAAGTAATAATTCAGCGAATGCCGCATCAGCCGCTACTGTTATCGCTATTCAGCAACAGCATACAAAACCATCGATTCAATCGCAATCACAATCATCATTATTGAATCGTTTATCAATGGTTACGTCACCGATATCATTACCAACAACATCGACAACAACACAATCATTTTTATCATCAAATTCATATGGAAATCTATATCGATCAGTTAAATCGAATAATACAAATAATGCAAATCAAACAAATTCATCATCGTATGTTGCACCACGTAATGAATATGAATCATTGATTAAAAGGTAATTTTGTTTTTAAAGTTTTTTGAATTGAAAAAAATTTCATTTTTCATCTTTGAACATATAGATATGCTGAATTGGATAGTTTTCATGTTGAAGTGGTAACAAAATTATCAATGACCGAAGCTGAAAATCGTCAACATCGTAAACGTAATAATGAATTAATACAACAATTAAATCAATCGATAAATACACGTGAAACAATCCAAGATGAATTAATAATGTTAACAACAAAATATGAAAAATCACAACGTGAAATACAAGAACTTGAAGATCAATTAATAAAGGTAAAAAAACAACGTGATGAAGCTAATAAAGAATGTCATAATGCTATGAATGGTCGTAATAAAGCTAATCGTGAACGACAACAAATGTATGAAGAACGTAATATTGCTATACGTGAATATAATCTAATAATGTCGGAACGTGATTCCGTACATAAAGAAATTGAAAAATTACAAGAAGATTTATTTGAAATACAAAAACGTAATGATAAAATTGATAAAGAATATAAAATTACATTAGAAGAAATGGAATTATTACGTCGTGAATTAGCATCAGCATTATTAGATCGTGATCGTACATTAAAAACATTATCCGAATTACGTGAAAAATATGGTGAAAATATAACAACAACAACAACAAATCACCATCATCATCATCATTCACAATCATCATTACAACAACAACAGCAACATGATTTTATAATTGATACCATTAATAATAATAATAATAATTTAAGTAGCAGTAGTAATAGTAGTTTGATTGGTAATTTTGTTGTTAATCAAATGATGACAACTTCTTTGGTTAATAATAATAATCAACAACATCAATCACCACCAACAATGTCAACGATTAAAAATTTATCATTATTAAATAATAACAATAAAATTTTAGCTACAACAACCTCTTCAAGTACATCATCTGTATCAACATTTGGAACAACAACAACCAACAACAACAACAATAATCATTATTCAAATCATTATTCACATCTGATTCATTCAACACCAAAAACATCAATGATGATAATCAATAATAATAATGATGATATCAATAATAATAATTCATCGAATAATTCATTAGCTACAACATCATTATTACCATTATCAATGGCTAATAATAATAATAATAATAATCATAATCTAGTCAATAATAATAATAATAATAATGAAAATGAATATTTACGTGAACAAATCAAACAATTACAATTAGAATTACAACATGTTATACAGGAAATTGATTTATATAAATCACGTCGTGATTGTGCTGAAAATGAACGTGATAAAATTATATTAGAACGTGAAAGTGTACGGGCACTTTGTGATAAATTAAGAAGAGAACGTGATCGTAAAATAAGTGATTTAGCTGATGCATTAAGAGAATTATATGAAAGTAGAAGACAAAAAAATGAAACAACAAAAGAATTAGAATTATTAAAAGAAAAATTTGATTTAGCAATGAAAGCAAATAAATTAAATCATGATAAACAACAACAACAACAACAACAATCAGCAACAACAACAACATCTTCATCAACAACAACAACAACAAATAAACCAAGTATTACCTGTACTAGTCAAGATTCGGCTATTGATGTTGATGATGTTCAAGCTGTTGTTGTATCCGCTACTAATAATAATAATAATCATCGACAACAACAACAACAATCTTTAAATCATAATAATAATCGCCCGCGTATTCAACAACAACAACAATCAATTAATAAATATTCATTACAAACAGTAACATTACCTATTTTATTAAATAATAATCAACAACAACAACAACAACAACAAAAATCAATCGATAATAATAACAAATTAAATGATCAAACAATAGCAATAAGACGTTTATTTGGTTTTGCCGGTGATTTAGTTTGGATTGTAAATCATACAAGTTTACCAATCGGTGATAATATTTTAAATGTAAATGATCGTATTGTATCTATAAATGGTACATCATTAAATAAAATATTATCAAATTATTTATTAAAATTTTTATTAAAATCAATTGATTCAAATATCGATACGAATACTGTTAATGTACAATTATATCGTTGTCAATCGACGATTGTTTCACCAGCACCACCACCATCAACAACAACAACAACAACATTATCACCTGGTACATTGTTACCAACGAATAATCATCATCATTTGATTAATGAACAACAACAAATGAATAATCGTTTAATCGATACGGATAATAAATATCATTATCAAACATTATTGAATGGTTTGAATACGAAACAACATTTAATGAATTCAATGATGGATGAATCAGAAATTGATGATGATGATGATGATGATGATGATGAACCACGTACAACAGTTGATGAAGATAATGATGCTGATGAAGATGAACCAAATAGTGATCAAGAAAATGATGAATGTGAATTAAAAACATTGGCTAGATTAGATCAAATGTTGGAAAAATATCAGATTGATGATTCATCATCATCATCATATTATGGTATGATTGGTGCGAATGTCAATAACAACAACAACAAATTATATCAACAACAACAACAACAATCATCGATTATTGATCCATCAATAATGATGTTTATGGAAAATGAAACATCACCATATGGTTATATGAAACATAATAATAATAATGCTGCAGCAATGGCATCAACAACAACATCCCAACAACAACAACAACAACAATCAGGATCATCATCATCATCATCGACAACAACAACAAATAATAATGGTGGTGCTGGTGTTGGAATAATACGACGTTCCAGTCGATCGAATAATAATAGTAAAAGATCTAATAATAATAAACAACAAAAAATATCGACAACAACAACAACATTTACAGGTGCAGCTAAAGAATTGACCGCTGCGATACAAAATCAATTTCGTACAGGTAAAAAAAATAATAATTCTTGTTCATCGGGTGATACATGGCCACGTTATCGTCCGCATCAATTTTTATCATCAATGTTACCATCATTTTATAAAAATCATTGTCTAAATGAATTACAACAAAAAAATTCATCAACAACTAAACAACAACAACAACAAACGCAAACAACAACAACAACAGAAATGTTAAACAAACGTACACCATTAGCTAATATGGATAATAATATTAATCATAGTAATTATGCAGCAACAACAACAATTAATCGTCGAAAACATCAAAGAAAATCATTGGGTATATTTTTTGATTTATTTCCAACTACAGCCGATTTAATGATGAAATCTAAATCGCAACAACAAAAATCAATTGATTTATCCAATAATAATAATAATCCTGTATCAACAGCAACATCGTCTGCGGTTAATCAATCGCAATCACAAAAACAACAATCCGTTATAATAAATGCTGCATCACAATTATCAGCTGTAACTTTGCGACAATCATCCGCATCCGCATCACGTCATCGTGAACATTCACAATCAATGATTAATTATGAAAATCCATATAGCCTTAATCAACAACAACAACAACAACGTGGAACAATTATTTTGCCACCGCCGCTACCATTATCACCACCTTCAGTATCAACAACAATTAATCCGATAAAAAACCAATTAACAAATCGATCTTCATTGATAAATTATGGTCAACATAATCGATCCATACCTGTATCACAACAACAACAACAACAGCAACATGTTATGTTTCAACAATCGCAACAACAACAACAACAACTACAGCAGCAGCAGCAACATTATATTTATTTAGAACCAAAAATAACATCACCATCATCATCATTATCATCAACATCATCATCATCAACATTACAAAGAAGTTTAACATATAATAGGTAAGAGTAAAAAACACATCTTGCGAACATCTTTGCTAATTCTTTAATTACTTTGTAGTTTAAAAAATACAAATAATGGACGTTTAGGTTATCTATTTGATCCAATTAATAATAATAATAATAACGATACAAATAATTATTATTATCATAATAATAATAATAATAATCCACATCTGCATCAACATCAACATCAACATCATCATCATCATCATCATTCAACATCATCATCATCATCAACAACAACAGCATCTAATTATTTAAAATTACAACAACAACAACAACAACAACAACGTATACCATGTTATTCATCAACAATTTATGGTAAAACAATTGATACATTAAATAATAAAGATTTAATTAATAAAAATCAACAACAACAACAAACAATTGATTTATATGGATCTCATTATTCGGGTAATCAACCAACACAAACAACATCATCATCATCAACATTAGTTGATTATTCGGTTGTATCGGCACAATCACAGGATAAAAATCTTTTAAGACATTATTATGAAATGCGTCAACAACAACAACAACAACAACAACAACATTTAAATCATATTCATCATCAACAACAACAACAACAACAAACGATTACAAATCAAAATCGAAATACACAATATTCAACCATGTTGACTAATAATACAGGATATCCTATTAGTAATAATCATCATCATCAACATCGTATTAATCCTGTAACAACAACAACAACAACTGCTGCTGCTGCTGCTGTCAATACAAAATTAACAACAGAAAATATTTATTCAACGGTTATTGGTTCAATAAATAATAATTATTATAATAATCTTCAATCAGCATTAAATAATTTAGGTAGTAATAGTGTCGGTGGTGTTGGTAATAATAATGGTAATCAACATTCTTCAAATAATATGGCTATTATGGCATCAATATCAGCCGCATCAAAACCATCATCATCATCATCATGTTCATCATCAAATAATAATCGTTCCTATAATAAAGATCAAAGGTAAGTTTTGAATTTTGATTTAAAAAAAATTCTGATTTTTGTTTCGATTTTTCTAAAGCTCAAATTTTGCTCATCCAATTTATGATACGATTTTATCATCAAGAGCAAGTGTTTCAAGTACGCATAGTTCATCGGGTTCCACTGCTTTTGCAGCGGCAGCAGCAGCCGCTACCACCGGTCATCATCAATATTCATTATCGGAAAATATTTATGGATCCAATATCGCTAATAAAACGTCAATGATTATGTCACAGTCACATCAACAACAACAACAATATTATGATGATCAATCAACAATTTTACGATCACAACGATTACGTATACCATCATCATCATCATCGACAACATCAATAACAGCAAATCAAAATCAAAAATCAACAACACCGACAACAACAACAATATTACCACCGATAACATTTAATGGATCATCATCATCATCAATATTGGGACAACAAACACAGATTATTAATTCAAATTCAAATCATAATCATCATCATTCACTTGGTTTAATTGGTGATCGTAATTCATATGTATCAAATAATGGCGGATCACAAATCGAAGTAAAATGGATAAAATGTTCAAATGATGGTTCACCTGGTTCAACAATTTCTGATCCAAGTAAAGCACAATCAGATGATTATCGTTTAATTACAATTGATCGTAGTTCAGCAACATTAGGTATACGTATATTACGTACATTTAATGATCAAAAAGGTGTTTTTGTTGAAGCAGTTACTGAAGGTAGTTTAGCTGCACAAGCTGGTATTCGTATTGGTGATCAAATTATTGATATTTGTGGTTTAAATATGCGTACAGCTGATTTTGAAAATGCAGCTAAAGTTTTAAATCAATGTCGTGATCCAATAACAATGTTGGTGCAAAAAAATTTAGAAAAATTTCGTGAAATACAAAATAAACAATTTCAAACTATATCTACATCATCAACAACAACAACATTACCATTATCATCATCAACATCATTATCATCATCATCATCATCATCAGCAACAACATCAGCAACAACAACAACAACAGCAACAACAACATTTAATCTAATAAATCCAAATGATCATCAAAATCATCAACAACAACAATTATCATTAAAAAGACGTTCTTGTTTTGAACAACCAGAATTGATTGCAGCAATTTCTGCTTCTGTTGATCATCATCATCATCCAAATCATCCAAATCTTAATAATAATTCAACCCGTTTACGTGCACCAATTATTGGACGTAATCAAACAACTGATTTAATTGAAAATAATAATATTGTCGTTATTATTGATGACGATGATGATGATGATTGCGATGATGACGATGACGACGACGACGATTGCGATGATGATGATGATGATAATGATGTTAATCGCAATGAATTTAGTTGATTTTTTTTTTGATTGATAAAAATCCATTGTTTTACTTATTCTTGCCATATTTAATTTTTATTTAAAAAAAATTAATTTTTTAAAAATTTAAATTAAACTTTTTTTTTTCGCTAATTAACTTGCAAAACTTTCAATTGTAGCCATTGCCGGTTTACGTCTTCGTTGTTGTCCAAATGTTGAATGATGATGATTATGATTATGATTTTTATAACGATTTTTATAAATTTTATGTCGTCTTCGTTTTGTCGTTATTGATTTATTATTCTGATTATTATTATTATGTTTACGTTTACGATATGAATTTGTTGTTTGTCGTTGTTTATAACGTTGATTATTATTTGATTTATTTCGATTACGATTTTTTAAACGATTTCGTTGATAATGATGGTTGCGATAACGATTATTCTTATTGTTATTTAAGGTTGTTGTTGGTGAAAAATTCTGCTTTTGAAAACGACGTCTTAATTGTCCATTTGATTCACTATTTTCTGGTAACATTGGTTGTTCATCTGGTGGACCTATTGGATAATAATTACCATCAGGTATTAATGATGATGGTGTCATTTCACCACCTGGTGGTAATGGTGGTTCTTGTGGTGGTTGTTCTTGTTCACCTTCATTATTATTTGCATCACCTTCGTTTGGTGTTTCTGGTTCTTCTCCACCTGGATCTGGTTCAGGCTCAGGCTCAGGCTCAGGTTCAGGTTCGGGCTCGGGCTCTGGTTCAGGTTCAGGTTCGGGCTCGGGCTCGGGCTCAGGCTCAGGCTCAGGCTCTGGCTCGGGCTCAGGCTCAGGCTCCGGTTCGGGTTCCGGTGGAAACATAGTTGTAACGACCGGTTGAACTATTTGAATTAAGCAACAACAAAATGAATGAATTATGTAAAAACCAAAACTAAACTAAAACTAAAAAAACAAACCAAAATCCGGTGGTATTAATAAAACGATAATTTGTCTTTTAAAGAAAAAATTATCTTTATACATTGGAAAATCTGATTTATATGGATTTTCATTATCCGTTGCTGTAATAAAAATTGTTGATTCATTTTGATTATTATTATTATGAATATTTAAACGACGTTTTAATAATTTTTCACCAGTTACAATCGATATTATTGTTATTATTAATGATATTAACCGTATCAATTGTAATGACGATGATGTAAATGATAATGGTGACGCTTGTTGTTGTTGATTACCGAATTCACATTTTGGATAAAAATTCATGATTTTTTTCTATTTTTTTGGCAAAAAAAATGAAGGAAAAAGAAATGAAATAACGTTTTCGACTGCATATTTATACGAAAAATTCCATTGATTCATTCACCAATATCATGTCAACTTTTTCTTTCCCTTGTTTTGTTTATTCATCTGGTCCTAATTATTAGCAATTTTGAAATTTTGAATTTTGAAATTTTTTGAAATTTTTGAAATTTGAATAATGATTATTCGGTTGATGATTTTCATTGATTGGATTCAAATTATTTGGTTTATTAATTGGTTTTGTTTTTTGTTTTGTTTTTTTGAAATAAAATTGATACAAAAAACAGAAACTTTGTCTATGAATATAGCATCACATTACACATAATCAACAAAACAAACATAGACCAATTCATTGATGAAATGACAAACAAACAAATTTTGTTTGTTTGTCATTTCATTCGTTTTTTTTCGCTAATTAATTTCAATTTCAATTTCAATTTTGTCTTTCCAATCAGGTCAAAAAAAAATTTTTTCAACAAATTTTTTTGGCTAAAAAAGAAACTTTTTTTTCTGGGTTCATTTTTTCTCTAAAAAAAAATTTCCAAGAAATTTTCTTTTCTTCCGGAAACTTTTTTCGTTTTTGTTACAGATAATAAAAGAAGAAGAAGCGAAGAACAGGGCTACCACCACACCCTCCCCAAAAAGACTAAAATTTCCTTTTTTTCTTTTTTTGAATGGGATTTTGAAAATGAACTTCAAAAACTTGAACTGAACACACTTAGATTTTATAGCGCGGCCATTGTCACGCAAGTTATTTTCTTTTTCCTTTGCCTTGCCTTGCCTTGCCTTGCCTCGCTTGCTTTCAATACAATCGTCCCTAAAAAAAAATAAGAAATTTCTCGTTAATAACGAATGGCGATTCAAGTTTTTCAAAAGTTTTTCGTTCATTGAAATAAAAAACAGACATATGCTCTGTGTGTGCAAACATTCTTAAGCAACAAAAAAAGAAAAAGAAAAAAACCAGCCATATGCATAGTGGTTGTTTGAAATGAATTGGTTGGCTTTGATTGTGGACCCCAAAAAAAAACACGACCTGATCATGCATGCATGCATGCATACAGGATCGTTTTTTTTTCTTTTTTGGCTGCGAATGGTCAATACTCGCGTAACAAGGGCGCAGCGCTTTGGTATATTATTTGTGTGTTAGTTAGTTAATGTTAGTTTCTTTGTGTTTGTGTGAACGTTTCTGAATGTTTTTCTTTGTTCAATTTTATTCAATGAAATTTGAAAAAAAGAAAAGGAAATGTCCATAGCCATCACCAAAGAGTATAGCCAAAAAAATATTCGATAATGTCATCATCATCATCTTGTCGTCATCGTCATCATCATTATTATCATCATTATCATCATCCACATCCACATCAAATAAATGGTTCAAATACATTACCATCAAATACAACATTAGATTCATTTAGTCATAATAATAATAATAATATCAATAATAATAATAATGGATCATGTTGTCGATCATCATTATGGTCAACAAATCATCATCATCATCATCATCGATCATCAATAAATAATCATCATCAACATACAATCATCAATACCTGTACCTGTAGTGGTTCAACAAATCCAAATGATAATGATAAAATGAATTCAAATAGTACAAATAGTTTTTGTTGTTGTTGTTGGTGGTGGCCATCAACAACAACAAATAATCGTCTATTTATTTGGCTATCAACAATTATAAATAATCATTTAAATTTAATAACATTATTATTAATATTTATATTAATTTGGTCATCAATATTATCATCAATAATATTAATACATTCATATCGTGAACGTGAACAATCAACAAATATGATTGATTTATTTTATTTAAATAAAAATTATGAACAATTAGCATTTTTTATTGGTAATGAAATGTGTAAGTTTTAAATTTAAAATGATTTTATAATTACTTAATTAATTGTAACTTGTAATTTGTAATTTATTCATTTCTTTTTCTCCAAAAGTATCTACACTAAAATCATCTAATTTAACAACAACAACAAACAATAATCAACTACTACAACAACAAAATCAAACCGAAATAGCCATACAAAAAATGATACAATCATTAAAACAAAAAGGTTATGATAGTATTGATAAAATTGAATCAATGTTGAATGAAAAATTGAAATTTTTACGTTCGAAATGTTATCATCAACTACGTTTAAATCAAAGCGAACCGAATCAAGATTCAAATCGATCATCATCAACGATTGAAATGATGATCGATTGTATACGAACATATGAAAAATTTTTCAATAATTTAGATATGATTCTATTATTTTATCCAAATATTAATTATAATTATAATCAACATCAAAATAATCAAAATCAAACAGATTTTATAATTAATCAACAACAACAACAAACAATAACGGATCGTTTTACATCAAAATTATCAACAACAGATTTTTCATTACGTAATATGCCATATAAATTATTTATACATGGTATTATAAATCGTTTTATATCGCTTGGTTATGGTCAATTAATTATAACTATAATGAATAATAATTATAATTATAATTATAATCAACTTGAACAACAACAACAACAAAATCAATCAATAAATATATCAGATTATTTTTATTATTATTATACAAGTAAACAACAAATAGAATCAGCATTTATTTGGAATCAACGTTTTTATCAAAAATTTTTAGAATTAGAACAATCAGAATATCAAACAGAATTATTAATAAATCGTTTTAATCATTGGTTTTCATCTATACAACAACAATATTTACAAATAAGTCAATTAATGATACGAATGTTTCAACAAGAAACATTAGATCGTATAAATAGTTATTTAAAGAAAAAAAATGCTGAAAGTATTGAACGTTTAATGTTAATAAATGGTACGAATCGTACAAAATTTATACAAGATCAAGATGCTAATAATCAAATTACAATACAAATGGATAGTGATTTTATTGAAACATTTGGTTTACAACGTATACAATATTTAATCAATATGGCTAAACAACAACAACAACAATCAATAAATATTGAACAAAAAAATTCAATTGATAAACAATATGAACAATTACAAAAAGATCAAATTAGATTTCTGATACGTTTACAAGATTTTTTAAATATATCAATGAATACACATTTAATACAAACATTAATACAAGAACAAACAAATTTTATTTATTATTTAATTATTGTTTTAATATTAATTATATCTGTAATTTCGGGTCTTTTACTTTATATTTGTAATTGTATTTCTTCACCGAAAAATCATCATAATCGTTGTTGTTGTTGCTCGAATCATTCTCAAACAAAATCAATATTTAATAATAATAATCGTCGTTGGTTATTTGGTCGACGAAGATTATTCTGGAATCTATCAACATCAACAACAACATTTAAAACATATTTTTCATCAACAGCAAACAATCATCAACAACAACAACAACAAAATAGAATTGCCACCAATAATCACTGTTGCTGCTGTTGTTGTTGCAATCACTCAGGTATTATTGGTGGTTCACCATCGTTGAAGCATTGTCATCATCATACAATCAACAGCAACAACAACCAAAACCAAAATTCAAACAATCAAAACATTATTTATCCATGTTCAAATTCACAAAATGCATTTCGTATATCATCATCATCGAAACGTACATTTGCCGGTGCTGTTATTAATCATTTTTGTGCTACACCAATTTCATCATCATCATCAACAACAACAACAACGACATCCTCATCATCGAATCAAATTCAATCAACAAAAACATCGCTTTTAACATATAATAATAATAATCGTAGTACAAATACAAAACAAAGTACAAGTAATCCAGATACATTATCAACTATAGTTAAAAATCAATGTGAATGTTGTCTTCATAATCATGATAATGATAATAATGAGCATAATGATCATCAACAACAACAACAACAACCGGAATTATCGATAGTATCGATAAATGAAATCGATTCTGAACAACAGAATAAACCGGAAAATGAGAATGATAAAACAATTGAGAAGGAGACCACGACGAAAAATGATAATAATGATAACAATGACCAATAACTCTTTTTTTTGTAAATAATTTTTTTTTTTTGAAATTTAATTAAAAATATAAAACTTTTTATTATTTTTTGGTTTACGAAAAAATTTTTTGTTTTTGTTTGTTTGTACATTTTTTATGGATACTTTTTTTTGTTTTATGTTTTAATGCTAATAACTAATCATATTGGATGGATATTTAGTTGATGGAAATTGTATAGGTATAGATGATGATGATGATGAGTTTGCGATTGCTGTTGTTGCAGCTACGGTAGCTGCTGTTGATGATGATGATGATTGAGATGGTACTGGTTGCATCATGATTGGACTTCCTGCGCTTTGAGGTGGTGGTGGTGGAGGTTGTTGTTGTGGTGATGATATTCTGTTTGCAATTATTTGTGATGATGATGATGATGATGACGGTAATGGTAATGATATTGATGATAATTGTTGCTGAGGTGGTGGTGGAGGTGGTGGTGACATTAATGATGTTGAAAAAAATTCACCACCAACATAATTATGACGCATACGTAATCTAACCGATGGTTGACTTTGACTAATCAATTGAACAGCTTCTTGATGTGTCATACCAATTGTTGATCGTTCATTAATTTCTAATATTTCATCACCAATTTGTAATAATGAACTAGCCGGTCCATTTGTTGCAATTGCCAAAATAAATAATGGCATACCATTAAATTCAGCACCACCACGTATAGAAAATCCATAACCATTTGAACCACGTATTAATTCACAACTATAACAATCGGCCGGTACAATTCGTAATAATAATGTATCATCTGTTTGATGGATTTAAAAAAAATAATGATTTGTAATTAGGGAAAAAATCAATCAATCAATCAACTCGAACATACCTGATTCTTTAATTTTATTAACAATTTCTGGATGTGACATATTTGTTACATCAATACCATTAACAGCAATAATACGATCACGTATATGTAAACGTTGACAACGATGTGCAGGTGAACCTTCAATAATTCTACCAATTAATGCACAATTACCACATGATATAATAACAAAACCAAAACCTTCATAATCTTGTCTAAATAATTGTACATCATATGCATTTAAATAACGTTTACGTCTAACAAGTATTGTTACTTGTGAACCAGTTTGTGCCATTAATTGTACAACATCTTGATGACTTGAACCAACAACATATTGTCCATTAATAGCAATTAATTCATCACCTGCTTTTAATGTACCATCTTTATGTGCAGAACCACCAATTACAATTGAACCAATAGCAACATTACTACCATCTTCAGCACCACCAATAATACGAAAACCAAAACCAGTATCAGTACGATTTAATATAATCTGATGATATTCATAATCAATATCAATCTGTCCGAATAAAGTACCAGATGATCGATCATTTGTTGATAATAATGGTGCCGATTGACTTGGCTATTGTAAATCAAATTGAAGAAAAAAATTACCTTAAAAAAAACATTTTTTTTACTAAAACAAATACTTTACCTTTAATGATGAATTCATCATTATTGTTGGAAAATTACTATAATTATCCATTTGTTGTTGTTGTTGTTGTTGTAGTTGTTTGATTGGCTGTTGATTACTATAAAGATGATTATTATTATCAACAGAAGCAGCCGAATTAGCCATCATCATCATTTGATTATAATCATCTAAATTTTCATTATATTGATCACAATATTGTTGATAATCATTATCATTATTAATATTATTATTATTATTTTGTTGTTGAGTATTTGTAATTTGTATTGTTGATTCATTATTATTATTATTAATATTATTCCATGTAGGTAATGTATTATAATGTTGTTGTTGTTGTTGTTGATAAAATAATTCTTCATTTGGTGTTTTACAATTACGTAATGATGATCCAATATCAATATCGTTATTATTATTATTATTATTAGCTGTCATCATTGGCATTGTCATTGATTGATTATTATTCGGTGTTTTTGAACGAAATCTTTTTTTACGTTTAACCATAAATTCAGTTGATTCATTTACTGGACATTGTTTTAATAATTCAACAACATCTAAATGTTGTAATTGTTGTAAATCCATACCATTAATACTAATTAAAATATCACCTTGCCGTAATGAACAACAACGTTCAATATCAAGTATTTTTTTTACTTTTTGTCCATTATGACCTTCACTTATTGTAAAACCAAAACCTTGAAAACCTTTTATAATTTTTAAATTAATAATATCATAATCTTCATCATTAATACCGGATGGTAATTGATAACCACGTGCAAATGTTAAACGTATACGATCACCAACATTAAATGTTTGAAATAATTGTGCAATATCTGAATGTTGATAACCAGAAACAGAAATACCAGCAACCGATACAAGTACATCACCTGATTGTATAACACCAGATGCTGATGCAGAACCACCTTGTATTAATGATTTAACAACAATTAAACCTTTATCAATTTCAATTAATGTAAAACCAAAACCATTAATTCCTTTAACTAATTCAATTTCATATGGTCGTTCATATTGTGTACGTTTATTAATATGATCAATATAATAAACACCATAATGTGAATCAGAAATACGTTCCCAACCATATGGTAATGATGCTGCATCAATTGCAACTAAATTTGAACGATTTCTTTTACGTTTTGCCATTGCTGACATTGTTGTCCATGATGATGATTCATCATTTTTCATATTTATTATATCATTTTTTCTTTCACTGTCACAAAAATAAAAATATTATTAGTTTTTTTTTGTAAAAATTTCTTCAAAAAAAAAAAAAATCTTACTTTGTTAAATGATTTTCTTGACTATAATTCGTTGTTGATGATGGTAATGCAGTACCATAATAATAATTACAATAAACACCTGATTCTAATAATAAACCGGAACGTTCCATTTGTATAAATTGTTCTTTTGTTACAAAACGATAATCAACACCATCAATTTCATTATCACGTTTTGGTCGTGTTGTTATCGGTATTGTACGTGAATAAATATTATCACGTATTAATTCTTGTAATTTATGATCTAATGAACCACGTACAAAACGCCTAGATAAATATTCACGTAATTCTAATGGAAATCCATGTTGTTGACCAGTTAATATTTTAAATGTATGTTTTGTTGAACGAGATAATATTTGTTCAATATCTATTGATGTTAAACCAGCAACTTGTTCACCATCAATTTCAATTATAATATCACCTGTTTCAGTAAAATAAGGCATTTGACCATAATCCGAACCACCCGATATTAGATAATCACCTTTAATTAATTAATTAAAACATTAAGATTAATGATTCAAACAGCAAAACAAACTTACCATTCGATAATGATTCATAAATAGCTATATTTTGTGACCAATGTGGTAATTTAGTGTTATTATTATTATTATTTAAACTACCATATTGATGATTATGATCAATATTATTTTCATCAGCATTTTCATCGCCATTTTGATCATCATTATTATCGATTGATTCATTGATTGTTGTTGTTGTTGTTGGTCTATCGATTGATGATAAATTTTCATTATTATCAACAATCATTACCACTTGTTGCTGTTGCTGATAATGATGACCATTGTTTGATGATTTTAATGATGATTTTTTTGGATTTACAATCGATGATGTAGATGAAGAATGATGGTGATGTGATTGTGATGTATCAATAATATCATCACCTACATTCGAATCATTACCATTATTATTATGATGATTATTTTCATTGTTTATTGTTTTAGCCATTGTTTTATCATTAGGATTCAAAATAAATGATGAAATTTTTTGAGGTAATAAAATCGTTGTTGTTGATGATGATGAGGTATTATCATTAATTAATAATGAATTTTCATTATTATTATTATTATTATGAGAATTTGATTGTTTTATTAATGTTGATGGTGATGATGATGATGATGATGATAATTTCATTGATGTTACATTATTCAACCGATAGGTGTTGGTTGTTGTTTTAGTGGTCAAAGTTGATGATTTGGCTATCGTATCTGCTGTTGTTGTTGTTGTTGTTGTAGTTGCATTTGATGATGATGATAATGATGATGAGTCGACCATATCAACATCAATAGCATCAACAACAACAGGTAAATTTTTTTCATTATCTTGTTTGTTGCTATTGCTGTTGCTGTTCTGATTAAAGCAACCAGTATTCAGATCATCATCAGCATCTTGTTTTTTCATCATAATCATTGATGATGATGATGATGCTAGCACGATACCTGATTCAATTTTAGAAGAAGAATCTTCTTCTAGTTGTTGTTGCTGAAGCGGCAGCATTTGTTGTTGTTTTTGCTCATTCAATTTTATTTGTTGCTGCTTTGTTGTCGATAATGAAGATGATGATGGTTGCTTAGTAGTATTTGTTTGACTTATTGAAACAACCATATTACCTGTCTGATGGTCGTTGTTGTTGTGGTGGTGGTGGTCGTCGTTGTTACCACTAGATGAATTTTTTTCATCATCTTCGACATCCACAACATTATTTGATTCTATTGGAAATTCTGTATCACCAACAACGATATTATTTTGTCGTTTAAAATTCTTATTTTTCGGTTGTTGTTGTTGTTGTTGCGTTGAATTTAATTCAAAATTCATTTCATTCGTTTCATTTTCATATGAAAATAAACTTGATGATGATGATGACGATGATGATTCTTTTTCTTTTGATAAAATCATTTCTAAATCATTGGATTTTTTTGTCTGTTTTAGTGATGCTAGCGATGAATCCGATGATGATGAATCAGATTGAAAAGAATCCTGATGTTGATGATTATCAGCCATTTCTTTGGTTTGAAAGAAAAAACAAAAAACAAAAAATGCTTCGAAAATCCGACAGACAGACAGAAAACACACCAAACAAAACACTCGAAGAGGGGGTAGAGGCAAAGACAATTTTCTTTTTTTTCGTTTTCTGGATTTTCTATACGACCCTATTTGGTGACACACACATGTTGAATTTGTCGTTTATCGCTGGTTGTGTTTACACAACGGTCGTTTGCAAAAAAAAAAAAAAAAAAGTTAACCCCAAAGCTCTAACCCCAAGAAAATATTCACATGTCACACACACAGAGAAACATTCAACATTCACATTGAATTTGAATTTGGACAAAAATTCGCTCTTTCTCTCAAATACAAACAAACAAGGAAAAAATCACACACACACACCCAGGATCCAAGTTTTTGATGGGAACAGCCAAAATGTTTATGTGAAAAATCAAAAGATTTGAAGTTGGATTGGCTGGCTGGCTGGCTGGCTGGCTGGCTGGCTGGCACTTTTTGAATCAATCAATAATGATGATGATGATGATCAAAAATCTGAATAGGATTTATCTTTGTGTTTTTGTTGTTATTATGATGATGATGATATCAAAGGATGTTTTCACATTTTGAAATGTTACGGAAATGAAATCTGATATTTACGGGAAAAAAAATTTTCATTTTTTTGTTTGGTCAATAATATCGAATTGATCGATCGATTGAATTTGTTTTGAATAATGGATGAAGGATGTTGATATTTTTGATTATGGATGGATGTTTGGGATTTTTTTTGATTTTTTTGAAAATCAAAAATCGATTTGAACTGCAAAACAATTTTCGATTTTCAATAGACGAAAACAAACAGACAAATAAAAACAGAAACGAAATTGAAAAAATACAATAAACATTTCCCGAATTGAATAAATTTTTAATGATGCATTTTCTTTTTCTTCAAAAATGTTAATGTTGATGAGTAACTTATGTCTGTGTGTGTGTGTGTGTTTTTTGAAGATGATGATGATGATAAACACACAAACACACACATCGAACAAACAAATAAAAAGAATTGATGCCAAGAATTTTGATTTAAGAATCAAAGAATTACTGTTAGTTTTCCCTCTCTCTCTCTCTTTTTGTCGAATTGAACCCGGACGGTTTTTTTTTTTAAATATTCTTCTATGAATCTTACATACAGCAAACAAAGTACAATGTAAAAGTAAGCAAGCAAACTGGAATATTCTGTACATTCAATGGTGGTGGTTGTTGTGGTAAAAGTTGTTTTTTAAAATGACGATCAAACCAGTGATTTCTTCTTTTACTTACTTGGCAGATTTATTGTCCTGTGTTTGTGTGTGTTTGGTGCTGATATTGTTTTTTGTTTTTGTTTGTTTGGTTTGATTTTTTTTGCAAACAACGTAGGAATTCTTTTTACTTTATTGCCTTTGTTGAAATTTGATGCTTATTCTTTCGCAATAGAGAGTTTTGTTGTTGTTGTTGTTGTTGTTGTTTTTAAACGAAAAACATAAAAAACATAAACATTGTTACGGTTTTTTCTTTTTGGGTTTTCAAACGCATAAAAATCAACAACACTCACATGATGGGATACCGTTAAAAAAATTTGAAAAAAGTTTGATGATGGATATGTTATGGTTGGATGTGATGGTCATACAAGCCACCATTTGGATCATCAAATCTTGAACATTTCAAACAGTAAACTCTCTCTCTCTCTCTCTTGCTTTATATGGCCTACATTTGTTCATTAGAGATTTTTAATTATAACCAAATAAAATAAAAGCTAAGCCGGTAAAACTTGTCAGTCAACTGACTGACTGACCAAGCCAGCCAAATGTCCGACTAATTTATTCGAAAGAAAAACCAACAACAACAAACGGAAAACTGGAAATGTAAACATATTGAATGAAGGGAGAAACCAAAAAAAAACAAACTGACTATATGTTTATATTTAACAGGATTTATAAATAAAATCAGAAAATTTTCATTTGAATCAATAAATCAATCAAAACAAACCGTTTTTTAAACTTGTAATTTTTTTCCTAAAAAAAATAGAACCACTATTGCCATCTATTGATTGAAAATCATTACTCTGAAAAAATAAAAAATTTTAATCAAAAGATGGTAGCACAGGTAATGTCAACAACAAAAAAAAAAACAGAGGAAATTTGATCCAGAAATCCATCCATCCAATTGTGAGCCAAATGATTCAAGCCAAAAACATCCAAAAGTTTTTTCTTCTTCAATTCATCATCATCCAGGTGACCATCACCACCAACAACAACAGGTAAACAGATGTGTGCCGCCCACGCACACACACACATCAAACATCATTAAATTTGTCATAAAATAATTAAGTTTCCTTGAAGTTTTTTTCTTTCTTTCTTTACTCCACCATCGTATCTTTTCTTTTTTTTTTCTCCTGAAATGATGATTATGATAATGATAATTTTCTCCATCTGAATCTAAAGTTATTGTCACATTGTGTGCAAGGTGTGTGTGTGATGTTAAAATGCCACGTAACTTAACAGAACAGGTAGCCAAAGCAACGACAAGAGGAATGTAAAGTAAAGTAACTTTTTTTTTTGTCTTGAAATGAAATAAAAACCCGAAAAGAAATTGAATTTAAATTGAAATTCATTCCCGAATCTTTTTTTCATTTTGTCAACCAAATTTATTCAGAGAAAATTGCCTTTTTCCCCCTCTCTAACACCACCGCCACTCATTCACTCATCCAAAACCAAACCAAACCAACCAACCAACTGTCAAAACAAACTTTCAAAAACAACTGCTTCTGCTTCAGGCAGGCTACGGCTGTTGATAATTACTTCATTTCAGAAAGAGAATGAAACTTGTATTCATCATCAAACAGAACAGAACAGAACAAACAAAACAAAACACACCTTGACTTGAAGTTGAGATTGTTTCATACCCTGAATAATAATAATTCTGGTCTGAATTTGCAATCACGAAAAAGCAAAACAAAAAAAAAATAAAGGTATCTTTTTTCTCTATGGCGCCCACCACCACCACCACTTTGATCAATGGAACATTGAGAGAGTGAGAGAGAGAGAGAGAAGGATTGCCTTTCAAATATCGTTTGTTGTTGTTGTTGTTGTTGTTTGTAGATAATAATACCGACAACAACAACAACAACAAATGCAATCATCAATAGGATACAGTGGAGAAAAAGAACAAGAAGAAGAAGCATCAATAAAAAAAACCAAATCAACCAAACTGACTGACAACAAAAAAATTTCCTTGTTGTTTTTTTCTCCATATCTAAGATGTTCTTTTCTCTCTCTACTTTTTTTTCTCCAAATGATGATGATGATACAACTTTGTATCCTTACTATAGTTGATTTTACAGCCCCAATGATGATTTAATAAAAACTTTTTTTTTTCATTTGTTCAAAATTTTTGGTTTGTGTCATTCGTATTTTCAGTTTTTCAGTTAGTCATCACCATTATGGATTGTGTGGGCTGAATTTGTTTGTTGATTTGGTTAATAAACGTTAATGATTATGATGATGATATTGATGGCCAAGCCAGATGTTTAAGTTTGTTTGTTTGTTTGTTTCGCATCGTTGAATTGTGTTTTGTTTTTTCTGGAAAAAAATCCGTTATATTTTTCATAAAAATCTGTCATTGTAAATCAATCGTCATTGAAAAGTCTTTGATATAAAATTCATTTAACTAAACTAACTTTTCTGACCTATTGTGTCATTTGTGTCATTTTTTTCAGTTACAAGTTTACTTTCCTTCCTTCATTCATGAACAACAACAACAACAACAATAAGGTATGTATTGGATTAGATTTTTTCCTATTCAATTTTCAATCATTTCGAAAATTTTTTCCTGAAATGAAAATTTTCCGGAAATGTTTCTCGAAATTGTCAAACGAATGAACAAACGAACAACAAACTAACGATAATGATAATGGTAGTGATTAGTGATTAGTTTTGTTGAAAATATTGTGGTTTATTAAAACAATTTCTCACACACATTCATTTTCTCTTAATCACTTTGTTAATTAGCAAAAAAAAAATTTACCGAGAAACAATAGCAAAGCAGAAAACATTGTAGAAAAAATAAAATGATTTTAATGAACTCAGTTTATTCAGTTTATATTGTTTGGTTTATTGAAAAATTTTTTCGAAATGAAATCACTGAAAGACAGACAGGCAGACAGATAGATATCAATGATTATTGGCTAATGAAATCTATCTAGAAACAAAAAAAAAACAGAAACAGAAAAAAATTATTGAAGCGAAACCAAGAAAGTAATCATTATGTCACACAGTGTTCGAGTGAGATTGAGTGAAAAGTCGAGCCGATGAATTTCAATTTGAATTTTTTTCAGTTTTTTTTTTGATTATTCCAGATTTGATCATTGATGATTGACTTTTGGCTCAACGGGATCAACGATTTAAATTGATTTGAAAAATCAAAAATCAATCAATCAATCAATCATGGAAGATCAATTAGTTTGGGCACCAGATACACAAAATGGTTATGTTTTAGGTAGAGTTATTGATATTAAATCCAATCCGAATAATCTGGCAACGATACGTATTGAATCAAATCAATTGAATATTTTTCCTGGTTATCAACGTAATTCTTCAACGAATAACAATAAAGAAACAAATGAAACAATTGAATGTTCAATTGAAAATGTTTATCCAACCGAAATTGATTTACAAAAAGATTATGATGATAATTGTTCATTAATGTTTTTGAATGAAGGCAATCTTTTACATAATATTCGTTTAAGATATTTTAAAAATAAAATTTATGTAAGTAATTTTGATTGGTTATTGATTGATTATTGATTGATTGACTGATCGATTGATTATTGATTGGTTTTTTTTTCGTAAAAAAAATAGACATATGTAGCAAATATATTGATTGCATTAAATCCATATTATGATTTACGTGAACAACTTTATTCATCAAAAATTCTACAATCATATCAAGGTAAATCATTGGGTAAAATGCCACCACATGTATTCGCTATTGGTAAGTTTTTTTGGTTTCGTTTGTCTGTTTGATTGATTTTCTATTGATTTTTTTCTTTTCAATTAATCTTCTCTCCGTAAAACAAAATAGCTGATAAAGCCTATAATGATATGAAACGTATGTTATATTCACAATCAATAATTGTTAGTGGTGAATCTGGTGCTGGTAAAACTGAATCAACAAAATATATATTACGTTATATTTGTGAATCATTTGGTGATGAATTACAAACAACAGGTCAAAAAACAAATGCAATACAAATTGAACAATTAATTTTGGAAGCAAATCCATTATTAGAAGCATTTGGTAATGCAAAAACAGCACGTAATAATAATAGTTCACGTTTTGGTAAATTTATTGAAATTTATATGAATCGGAAATTTTCTGTTGCTGGTGGTCATATATCACATTATTTATTGGAAAAAAGTCGTATTTGTGGTATAAATAGTCCATTAGAACGTAATTATCATATATTTTATCAACTTTGTGTTGGTTTACCAAAAAATTTATGGGAAAAACTTTGTTTAAAACCACCGGATAAATTTACATATTTGAATAAAGGTTGTACACAATATTTTTTAACAGCAATGGAAGATAAAAATCTATCCACAGATCGTAAATCACAACAACATTTACAAGAAGGTTATCTTAGTGATTCAATTGTTAATGATCTGGCTGAATTTCATGCAATGGATCGTGCATTACATCATTTTGGTTTGAATGATGCGGAAAAAATGATTATCTATGAAATTGTTGCTGCAATATTACATTTAGGTAATATACAATTTGAAGAATCACCAAATGATTCACATGGTGGTTGTCGTATTATTGAAAATGATCCAAATAGTCAACAAGCATTAAAAGATTCAGCAAAATTATTAGGCGTGGATGTTGATCAATTGCAACAATGTTTACAAACAAGAATTATGCAAACACAAAAAGGTGGTTATAAAGGTTCAACATATATGGTACCATTAAAAGTTTATGAAGCACAAAATGCACGTGATGCATTAGCAAAAGCAATTTATTCACGTCTATTTGATTATATTGTATTAAAAATTATTAATCGTAAATTACCTACAAATGATAATCAACAACAACAACAACAACAACAATATTCAATCGGTGTATTAGATATTGCTGGTTTTGAATATTTTCAAACAAATTCTTTTGAACAATTTTGTATAAATTATTGTAATGAAAAATTACAAAATTTTTTCAATGAACGTATATTGAATGATGAACAAAAACTATATGAACAAGAAGCACTTGGTTTAAAACATATTGATTATGTTGATAATCATGATTGTATTGAATTATTTGAATCAAAAAGTTTTGGTATATTTGATTTGCTTGATGAAGAATCACGTTTACCAAAACCATCATCATTACATTTTACTGAAATGGTACATAAAATTAATGGTTCGAAATTTCGTTTAGATTTACCAAGAAAATTTAAATTAAAATTATATCGTGATTTACGTGATGATGAAGGTTTTATTATTAGACATTTTGCTGGTGCTGTTTGTTATCAAACCGGACAATTTATTGAAAAAAATAATGATAGTCTACATACAAATTTAGCATTTTTAATGTTAGAATCTAATAATGAAATGTTGAAACAATTTTTTCAAACTGATTCACAACATTCAAATCAACCAAATCAACATTCAAATCATCAATCAAATTTTTCATCAACAAGTTTAGCCGATAAATCCGTACGGTTAAGTGCCGAATCAGTTGGTTCAAAATTTCGTAAACAATTAGCCGATCTGATTGGACGTTTACAATCAACTGGTACACATTTTATACGTTGTATAAAACCAAATTTAAAAATGATATCAAAAAATTTTGATGGTGGTTGCATTCTATCACAACTGAAATGTTCGGGAATGATATCAGTTTTACAATTGATGCAATATGGTTTTCCATCACGTTGTACATATTTACAAATTTATGAACTATATTCAACACGTTTACCAAAACGTTTATCATCGATTGAACCACGTTTTTTTTGTCATGCATTAATTAAATCAGTTGGTTTAAACATACAAAAAGATGTTTGTTTTGGTGTAACGAAAATATTTTTTCGACCGGGTAGATTTGCTGAATTTGATTTATTATTAAGAAATGATGATCCAAAACAATTAGATCAATTAGTTAGAAAAGTACAACATTGGTTAATATCATCACGTTGGCGTCGTGCACAATGGTGTTCATTATCGGTTATTAAATGTAAGTTTTCTTTTAATAAAAAATTTTACTTGAAATTTACAAATTTTTTTCCATTTAGTAAAAAATAAAATAATTTATCGTCGTCAATGTATAATAATAATACAAAAATATATACGAATGTATTTAGCAAGGAAAAAATATCGTCCACATTATGAATGTTTGAAACAATTAAAATTGATTGAAAATTATTTAAATAATGTTCAACCATTAATCAAGAAAATACAAAATGATCAAGAACGTCAAACATATTCACAGAAATTATTATCAATAAATGAAAATTTAAAATCAATTCCAATCGATTCAATAATACCCGATACGGATCCAAAAATAATGGATAAAAATAAATGTTTAAAACAAATTGATTTAATACGGAAAGAAATTGATAAATTAATTATAAATCTTGAACAAGCATTAAATGAACAAGAATTACGTTTAAAATATTTACAACAAGAATTAGAACAACAACGTTTACGACAAATTGAAGAAGAACAATTGAAACAAAAACAAGAACAAAAACGTCGTGAATTAAATGAACAACGTGAATTGATTGCTAAACAATTTGTTCAAACAGAAACTGTCAATCAACAAACTGAAAATGGTTACCTTGTTGATCCATCATCGTTATCAACGGATCAACCATCAAGTTTAATGATGATAATGAATGAAGAAGAAAGACAAAAACAAATTGATTATTTAAAACGTTTAGAACAGGAAAGACGTGATTATGAACTGGCATTAAGATTATCACAAGATGGTAATATTGTTCAACAACAACAACAATCGCAAGATGAATTTCATTATAATCCATATGTGGTAAGTGTTTGTTTGTCGCTTTTTTTGTTGAAAAACTATTAATTCTTTATCGATCTATCAATCAATCAATCAATCAATCAAAAACCGTAGAATTCCGTACGACAACAGGAATCAATGGTAAATCATCCAAATAATAATAATCGAAAATATAAATTAGAAAATTGGAATTATGCAAAATTAAGAGATACAATAAATACATCGAATGATATTGAATTATTAGAATTATGTCGTGAAGAATTTCATCGTCGTTTAAAAGTTTATCATCAATGGAAAGATCGTATACATAATAGTCGTTCATTATCGACAACAGCGCCAACAACAGCGCCAGCAGCGAGTAACGATAATCAACTAAATAATAATAATAATAATAATAATTTGTTGATTATGCAACAACAACAACAACAACAAATTGATAATAATAATCGTGCACCTGTTAGCATAATGAATTCAACAACATCATCATCATCATCGACGATGATGATGAATAATAATCAGGTGAAATCAACTAAACAACAACAACAACGTTATTTTCGTTTACCATTTGATCGTCATTGTGGACAATCAAAAGGTGTTTGGTATGCACATTTTGATGGTAAATGGATTGCAAGACAAATGGAAATACATCCAAAAAAGAAACCAATATTATTGATTGCAGGTAAATTGTTAATTTTTCAGATTTTTTAAAATTTCAACATTTCAAAATTTTTTAAAATTTTTAATTTTTTTTCAAACGCAGGTATAGATGATTTAAAAATGTGTGAATTAAGTTTAGATGAAACCGGTCTAACGGGTAAACGTGGTGCCGAAATATTACCCGAAGAATTTGAAGCTGTTTGGTGTCGTAATGGTGGTAGCCAATCATATCGTTTGAAAAAATAGTGGAAAAAAAATTTTCCAAAAATAAAATTTTCAAAAAAATTTCCAAAAAAAAACCAGAATCTGTTCATAAAATTAAATGACAATCTCGTTTTGCTTATTTGGCTTGATTGGATTTTCGCTTCTTGCAAATAAATTTTCTTTTCTTTCAAGCAAAGAAAAACAAAACAAAAAAAATTATTTATGAAACTGGAGCGAATTAACCAAAATGAATCGAATGAATGAATAAATTCCAATTGCATTTTGCCCGTTTGTTGTTTCGCATTATTTATATTTATACGGTTCACTTATGTTCAATAATAATTATTTTTGATTCTTGGAATTTTCTATTTTCTATTTTTATTATTATTATGATTATTCTCGGTATGTAATAATCATGAATTTCTCTATAATTTTTTTTTTTTGTTCGTTATGGTCATATTGTGCAAGGATCATCATCATGCTGTTTGTTTCATTTGAATTTTTTTTCTCTCTCTCTCTCTCTCTCTCTCTCTCTCTCTCTCCAGATTTG